GAACCATCAAGGTGGGTGTCACATGTTAGGAAAGCAACGGGGTAAGCAAATGAAGATTGGATTTTAAACAAGGTACACTGAAGCAGCATGCACATCTTGCACAAAGTTGTTTGAAGTTAGCTTGTTCAGTGTGAAAATGCCTTGAACTGCTCATTAGGAAAATATAGAGGGCATGGGAAAGTCCTAAACTCTGGGCTGAGGGACTCTCCTCAGGGCTTTGGCAAGGAGCCCTCACATTTGGACTCGAACTCTCTCAGTGGTAGGCCTTTTTTTTTTTTTTTAAAAAAAAAAAAGTTTTTTTTTTCAAAGGACATAAAAAGGCTTATTCCCCTTCTCTCCTCTCTCTCCTCTCTCTCCTCTCTCTCCTCTCTCTTCTCATGTAGTGGCTAAAGAAGGGGGTTTTGTCATCATTCTGTGGATTCAGGCTCAATTCAGTAACTCAGGAATCTTTGGGCTGTAAGAGCAAAGGAGGAGTGGTAATTTTGTGTATGGACATCTCATTTCTCTTGAATAGGCATTTTCATTGTCTAACACTTTTGTTATTTTCAGTCAAAATGGTTTTGGTTGCTGCCTTTTGGAGTATCCTCTTTATAGTGTTTTAAAGAGGTAGCAAGACTGATTTTTTTCTCTGGAGTTCTGCAGCCTTCGATGGAAACATTCCCACTTACCCAATAGCTAAAGTCTGTCTCAGAGCTTGTTGCTAAGTGAAACGTAGGAGGTGAATTACATTTCCAGCAACTCTTAGAGTTATAACTGGCTTTACTGAAAACTTTCTTGCTCTATGTGTGTGTGTGTATGTTATTTTTTTTAATTTATGCAAGCCCATAAGAAAAATCTTTTAGAATATGTGAATTCTCCTGTATTTTCCAACAGGGAGAATACTGACAGAAAGATGTAAGAAAACATCTATTTTCTTGTATCCTACTTGCATTGATATAAACCTCTTTAGCAAACAGTAAGATCTCTGAAATTTGAGAACTCATTTGCACATTTCTTAATATTGTCCTGTTTCCAGTTCCAGAGAGTGCATCTAGTGGATGATAACAACTTGTACTGCAGTGCAAGTTGTGGTGAAGGATGGCAAAAATGAATGCAATACTGGATTCATGGTATTGTCTCAGATGTCTGTTTCTATATCATGTTGTTACATAGGTGTTATATATGAAGATCGTTCATATATATGAAGATAGTATATAAATAGTATATATTCATATATGTGTATATATTCATATATATTCACATATGCTATAGTGCTATGAATATAGTATATATGAATATTCATATATATATATATGAAGAAAGTTAATCAGCTGAAAAAAAAATGATGGACTCCTTTCTCCATACTCAAAATCCTCTTTTACTAAAAGTCACTATAATATGTTGGCTAGAGCATTAGCTTGGTGCTGAGAGTTTGGTTACAGACTACAAAGTTTATATTAATTTTCAGTTATTTCTTTATTAAGTCATATCCTTCTTTTGATGGTTATAGTAATAATTTGGATCTAGTGTGGCTGGTATCACTTTCCTGTAGAAAATAGTAAGTAGCAGCATGAGGATTTTGAAAGTCCTCTTGGAATTCAGACACATGCTTTTTATTAATTTCAATTGACAGTTATATAGCCAGATCCTGCAGTAGTCTTCGAAAATTTCCAACAAAGTATTTGATTTTGTCATTGCTGAAGTGCCAGCTGGGTGCTGTGAAGATATGAGTCATTCACCAGCGATGCTCCACAGTTCCATGGTAATGTGGCCTCAGGCCATTAGTTTACGCTATGAGGTCTGTGAGGGCAAAGAAACTCCAAAGCTGAAGAAGAGTTTGTAACTTCTAATGCCCAACCTAACATTTAAAGAGACTCGATTGACATAAATGTGTTATTCGCCTGCCCTGGTCCTCTTGCTGCCTTTGTGCCCATTTGTGCATGGGGTGAATGGAAATGACTGCTTCTTCTAATGCAGAGCTTTATCCATGTTGTTGTGTCAGCTTGAGCATGGAAACAGATTTTCTCTGTGCAGTGAAATAACATCGTTGTTATGCAACTATGCACAACAAAACATGTTTCTTGTTATGCATCTACTATATCACATACTAAAAATGTTAGTTTTTTTTGAGAAGAGACTGAAAAGCTTTGGATAGATTATTATACGAGAATGATAAAGCAGAATGGTCTTAAGAAGATCATACAGAAACTCTATTTTCCTGTCCTCAGGAAACAATACTCAGTGAATTTGAATTTTAGAGACACATTTCAGAAGTGGTAACAGGAAGTACTCTTGCAAGCAGCTTGGACATGATGTATGTGAAACTCATTGTTCCAGAAAATTGTTGAGGTCAAGAATATAGCAAACTTTAAAAATAATTTGGATGCTAACAGATATTACTGATATACAGAATTATAATAATAAACGCTATCAAAATTTGAAAGAGATATTACATTTCGTGCTTGGGGCATAGGCTAATCTCTGTCTGACAGATATCAGAATGAGACTTGTAGCAAGATGATGTCATGTCTACCTTGCATGGGTTTCTTATGCTACAATCTAAACGTACCATGCTTGCAGTATACAAAACTATATGAAACTGTGGTCTTAGATCAACAGCATTGTACAAAATCCTAAAACAATGTGCATCTCTGCCAATAGAAGAGGTCATTATCTCAAATATCATTTTAAAACAAATTAATTCAGGAGTAAATGCAAAGGAGTTTGAAATCTGTTTAACTGTGTAGGTGTCAGAATAGTATTGACTTTGTAAATGGTTTCACACTACATTGGTTATATGTCCTTAGCATATGTTTCTGTTAGAGTGCATTGTTTTTATATATATGCAGTTAATTGTTAGTTGTGACAACAAGGCTTGCTGCTTGGTCTCATTGCCTTATTCCTAAGTAAGTCCAGTGTATAACCTCCTCTAAATGCAGGTCTTATACTAAAATCGCAAGCCAGTGCATGGAAAAAAAGTTGTCTCAGAACTTTGTGGCTGTTAAAAGAGGGCTCCATGGATCAAAGTTGGTTTTATTTTCACTTACATGAGAGGTTCATGTGAAGTGACTTGTTAGAAGGAACTGTGTGGACTTTCACAGTGAAATGTTAATCTGTCATGCAGACCTTGTCACAAATGAGCAGTGCCACAGAAAGGTGTCTTAATCTCTTTCCAAGTTCAAATCATACAACAGCTTTTAAAAAGGTTTTCTGAGGTGGTGTGGAAGGACAGCTTTATAAAGTAAAGGATCTCATTACTTCTCTCCCTGTCCGCTAACCAGGATAATTAATATCCAAATATTCCCTAAGATTACTTATTTCCTGCCTAGCTCATTGACAGGCAAGGCTGAGGTTTAAAATCACAGCAGGCGAAAGCAGATGGCTACCTTCGCTAACAGATTACTGCATCAAGGCATACAAACCATGCAGCTTCGTTTCAATATACTTCAACATATGATATATAAAGCGAACATGATAGAATAAATCCATGATGCCTATAATAAGAGTCACATTACAGCAGTATTTAAAGCGCTAGGAGAATTGCCGAAGCAGTTATTGTATACTTGTGCTGATTTTCAAATCTTATTAGGTAAGAAAGTATTACCTGGAAAATAATGTCTTCTCTTTGCTGTTGCTTGCTGTCATTTCATTCTTATTGAACTAATTAAACTTAGAGATTTCCAATACATATAGCTTCTACTGAACCTGCAGCAAGCACATTAACGTGTTACAGTTCACACTAATCAGATGGTTAACTGTAAGGTGGGAATTTTTTCGTAAGGAAATGAATCCCTCTGCTAAAGTTCTATACCTGCAAGTCTGTGATGAAACTGCTGTACTCTAATTAAAAAAAAAAAAAAAAAAAAAGGGAGAAGCATTGTTTCAGGAAGTCATTGCAGAACAATACATACATATCCAGCATAGCAAATAAGCTCTCTTGTTTGAAATGGTAAAGTGCAAGTAGAAGATACCTAGAATCGTTGATGAGAAATTCCTCCTAACTGAGGGTCAGGCTAAGTAAAACGTTTAGCAGCTCCAAATGATGGCGGAGTATCTCTTAAGACAGATCTGGTATTTCCAGCATGTTGCATAATTATTTGCTATGTAAATAAGTAAGACATGTGAAGTCTTGTGTGCCTGAAGTCTATCAACATTGCTGGCATTATTTTTGAAGAGGGTCAGCTCAAAAGGAGCCCACAGCTTCCTGGCTCTTCAGAAGTACTTGGCACAGTAGAGCAGTTACCCTTATGTAAGAGCCCATTACTTTGGGCGCTGAAGAAGGAGATACGTGGTGGTTTATAGCTCTGTGAAACAGCTCTTGCAAGGACTGATGAGTGGTACTATCTTCTATCTTTTGTGCTTTACTGAGGGCGGTAGGTAACTCTGCTCCAAGCTAGCAGCCTTTGCTGTCACCAGTGTCCTCTGTCCTTTCTCTCCCTTGTGCGCTCCTGCTGGCTTTGCTTTGAGGACATTGGTTCTGCTCTGCCTGTAGGAGAGGGAGGTCTCCGGTCTCCTGCCTGACATGATGTGCTAATGTAATATTGCTGTTAGTGTAGCGGGAAAAGGTAGGAATACCATGGTAGCAGTTAATCACTGGAAGCGTTACAACTGCTACAAGACTACAGACTAAGATACAATTTCATGTTTTAAGGAATTAAAGCTTTTTTTTTCCTTCTTTTCTTTTTTTAAGACAAAAAGTTATGATAAAAAAAAGTTATGATAACTTCCATTTGCCTACCTGAAACATTCACTTATATATCAGCTTAATGTATTTCTGTATGCTATAATGTTTTTTTAGGACGTAAAGTGGAGAAAGCACATAAAAAATGTTATGTAGCATCTCCATGTACTTGTACTTATATATTTCCAAAGAAGCTGTTTGTATTCTCTGCTTGAACAGTAACTGACCAGTGAATTTCTGATTAAACAATATTGTTGACTGCATTCATACCTTTCCCATAGAACTCGAGCAATGTCTATTTCTGAATTGTTTTTCTCTTTATTTTTTGCTTGTATGATAGACCTGCCCTCAGCAAATTTAAGCAATTACAACCTCACTGTCGTGGAAGGAAAGAGCATCACTCTGTATTGTGATACTACTGGAGGGCCACCCCCTAATGTGTCCTGGGTGGTAACTAATCTTGTTTCAAATCATGAGGTAAGTTTCATGTTCATATGTGTGGCAATTTAGGGAAGAGGCATCTGCCAGAGGATGGAATAAAGCCTCATCTCCAGTTTTATTTAACTTTTTACCAAAAATATGAAGTAGTTTTTGGACATTCATTTGTAAATGAGAGTAGTTTTACAGAAATAATGTAGCACATCAGGATACTGATTTCTTATTGTCACAAGTGCTTTCTTATTATCACAAATACCTGAACAGATGCAGTAAGTCTAATCTGCTCTAATTGTGAGAAAAACTGTGTCTTTAATTTTATTACATTTTCAGGCCAAAAGCCTGTTGTGCAGAATATTTGGTTGTAAATATTAAATACTTTGTGTTTTATTTCAATTTTCTTCAACAAGACAAAGTCACAATGGAAAGATTCTAGAATTAAAGTGAAACTTTTTCTAAAAGAAAATTTCTTAAAAAGTTTTAAAATGTTCCTGTAATAAATTCATCCAGACTGGGTTTTTTTTTTTTTTTTTTGCAGGCCCTCAGCATGCAGCTGCTGATTGCCATTATTTACACTGTTCAAAAATCCCCATTATTTACAGTTTTATAGCCTTGCCTCCTCTGAGCTCTTGAGAGTACAGACTGCCTACCGGTTGTGCAAAGTGTGATGCATACTTCCAAAACAGTTCCTGTCTGAGCGAAGACCTTTGAGGTCTCTTAATCTTGCCCTTTCTGCATGGAGGTCATTATATTAGGCTTTTGAAGATTTTGACTAGCTTGTCTTTCAACTATCATAAATAAGAGCTCTGCAGAGTTCCGGTTTTATTTTTGAATTTCTCTCTAATCTGTAGAACTACCCAAAGGCACTAGTCATCATCAAGAGCAAGAAATAAAATAGTTTGGGGAACCGATGCTAAGTTCTTTTTTTTTTTTTTTTTTTTTGAGTTATAAGCCAACACAAATAGCTTTTTTTGAGCAGTGGGATACTGCTCAAAAAGTGAGATCACCTCATTTTTAACTCTCCTATCTTTGAAATGCCATGTTCAGTTTATTTAAAGTTTTCCAGAAATATTCTGTCCTGGCATAACTTGGTGAGATTTCAGAAGGGGCTTTTAAGAAGGGGTTAGCTGCAGCCTTAACCATGGAGCACAGTAGTCTTTTCAGTAGTAAAAGAAAGAGTGCTTTTAAAAAGTCACTTGCCATTCACAACTGTCCTTCCCTTTCTGCAAGTGTTGTTTTTTGTTTTCTTTTTCTCACTTCCATATCACTGTTTCTGCCTCCCTTTTCTTCACCTCCAATGCTGCCTTGGCCTGGTTTTCCTCTCTTTCCTGATTTACAAGGAGAGATATTAGCAAAAGTTAAAACTAAACACCAGTCCTGTGAAGTAAACTGCATGTTTGGCTTGAATGCTGTTATATAACTCTGATTATGCCAGTTAGACTTTTCTTGCTGTACATTTCAGTGCTCATCCTGCGCCAAGCGCCGAGCTCTAGTTCTTGCTCTGAGGTGTGCTTGCATGTAAGAGTTATGCCTGAGGAGAGAGGTGCTTTGGTTGGGTGATGACTCTCCAGGGTCACACTGAAATCCGTGGGGTGCTTGACAGCTGAGTTGTCATCCCAATGCTCAAAATCCTGGTCCTGCTACATGCAGGAGTGGTCCCTCCACTGGGACCCCTGCCACTGGAAGTCACTGTGTTTTTACAGGTGCAGTGTATCATTTGCTTATGCTCTGTTTAGCTTCAAGGATATGGGTACCCAAAGAAAAACATTCCCAAAAGGCTTTTTTAAAAATTATGTTCTCATTTGTTTTCTAAACATGTGTTTGTTCCTTTTCTTTCTAAGCAAATAATCTTATATTTTATGGAAGAATTTAGATAGTAATTGAATATCATGTTAAGGACCTCTGTTTAAGAAAGCAGAGGCTGTAACAACCAGCTTTGACATAGTGTTGTCAAGGTGTAGTAGAGCTTAGAAGGCTGCAGTAGATGAGGTGTCAAGCTAAGCATAAAGGAAAAAGATAAAAGGAAGAGTAAAGCAAGAAAGAAGTAGAATATAGAAGGGAGGAAAAAGATTAAGGAGAGCTGAGATATACAGTATAAATCAATCATGAAATGGAAGAGGGGGCGAACAAGGGGGTGGGTAGAGGAAAAAACAACTTGTGGAGAGGGGAAGAAGTGTTAAAAGAAGAAAGAAGCTGAAAGTGACAGGATGATAAAGTGGGTGAGTTTAGGGATGTAGCAGAATAACTCTTCTGATGCTTTAAATTGCCTGCTACTGATAGTCACAGTTGGTTCCGTAGGTATTTTGCATCTGTTTGGATAAGATACCGAAGTAACAGTTTGATTAATTGCAGGCTGATACAGCTAAAAGGAAATGAAGCAGGAAAATGGCACTGAGCTGTGGCCAATGGCCCTGTCTCCCTAGTTTCCGTATGCTGCAGTTGACAAATAAATATTTTTCTGATCATTTGTAGAGTGACACAAGCAAGAATCCTGCCTCGCTAACCATAAAAAACGTTTCATCCATGGACAGTGGACTGTGGATTTCTTGTGTAGCAGAGAACATTGTGGGAGAGGACCAGGCATCGGCCGAGCTCACGGTGTTCTGTACGTAAGCAGGGCTGCACATACATCCCAGGGCCAAACCATGCTGGCACCAGCTGTTTTGGGTATATTGGGCACAGACATTGTGGAAAGGAAAGCTCCCTGAAAACGTGTGAACTATCTATTGCAGTTATTGCTGGGAATAGCCCAACTGGCAGTTGTTATTTTTATCCTTTTCTGCTTTGAGTACTTGTGCAAATATTATGTGTCTAAATGCTTTATCTTCCAGTTTGGACAATCTGTAAGTAAATGTCTGAAACACAGAATACTCAGTGGCACTGTCTGTGAAAAGGTTTGTAATGGTGTGCATCTTATGAATCTCAGATACATGAACACCTCAAAAGGATCGTAGAAATTATTTATATTAAATTACAAACTTTGAAGATTCTTTTTCATCTAAAGAACAACTAGTTGGCTCAAAAAATTAACAAACTTGCAACATTTGTTCTACCAGATGTAAATTTATTTGTCGTAGCTTTGAGTATTGTACTAATTCGTCAGGGCCAAAGAAGGGGGAAGGGATGTGTAATATACAGGCATTGGTGTCTTAATCCTAAGACTGAAACCTGAATTCAATTTTATGTGAAACAGACAGGATGTTTTCAGAAGTTGCAACCCTCTATTTAATTGAAGATGGGAGTATAATGCTTTGTAAATGGAAAACTTTGTTCGGCATGTGCTCATGACAGAGTAAACTAGCAAAATTACTATAGATGCGCTTGTAGGTTGAAATTGGATATATAATAGCTATGGAAAGGGACATAAACTAGAAGTATTTGAACAGTGTAAATGGCGTTCTCAGATTGGCATTGTTATGATTGATAAAAAGGAGCATAACTAGATGAAATTGGATGCAGTTAAGACTGAGTATCAAGGAAAATTTTCCAACAATGAAATAACATGCAAGGTGTTAGAACAATCTCCTGAGTATAAAGTCTGTAAATTTGAGGCATTTACCAAGTCTGAACAAAGAATGAAAGTCGAAAGTGGTTCTTTCGTCAGGAAGAATCCAGGGAATTAAATAATCTATTCTGGCTTTGATTCTGTGAATAAAATAGTCTGAAAGTTTGGAATGTATTTGCACTGCAGCATGCTTTTGGCCAGCTTTTAACTATTTTTAATACTGTTTTGTTCCTTCAGCACTCCTCTGCTCCGTTTTTACTACAGTGAAGCTAAAAGCTTTTTCTCTCTTTTCTGCAGCCTGGTAACTGAATTTTCCACCCCTTGCAGATCTGAGTAGCTCAATGGGTGTTCGGACTTTGTCTGAAACTATTTGCTTTTGTTTCTTTCTGAAAAATGGCTTCATTTCCCTTCTGAGCATAGTATGCTAGGCAGAGCAGGTGGGCTTCCAGTGTGAGTATGCTCCACATAGGTATAAGGCCTACAATAAGCATATTTTAGCTCTGATGAATGACAAATATTTTCCCTAACAACACAAGGCGGGGGGCGGGGTGGAAAAAAAAGCCATGTTCAGGATATTCTGATGTTCTTCACTCTTTTTCCAATATAGTTGCACCAAATATCACATTTATTGAATCTCCAACCCCGGACCACCACTGGTGCATTCCATTCACTGTGAAAGGGAACCCTAAACCCACACTGCAGTGGTTCTATGAAGGGGCTATCCTGAATGAGTCTGAATACATCTGTACTAAAATACATGTTATCAATCAAAGTGAATACCATGGCTGCCTTCAGTTGGACAACCCTACCCACCTGAACAATGGTGCTTATACACTACTGGCAAAGAACGAGTACGGAGAGGATGAAAAGCGGGTTGATGCTCATTTCATGTCAGTGCCTGGAGATGGTGAGTGTAATGTCTTTTTGTAAGAAATTGTAATTGATGAGCATGTGGGGACAGCGCTTCTGACCGGTTTACCTATTTTGAATGGAGCTTTTTAAATTAACTTTCTTCTTTCAGTTAAATTCATCAGGACTAGCTGTAAAATAATGTTTTTCTTTTAATATTTTGTTGTTTATTGCTCCTCAAGAGAGATCGTGCTAGTACTCCCTAAATCCTTCCTTTGAGTTACCATTATCAGCACAGCTAAGGATGTAAGACATTACTATTTCTGAAGTGCTTTCTCTAACTTGAATTCTAATCCTGGGAAACTGCGAGTGCCAGTTCAGTCAATCTGCAAATTTTCTGCACTGTGTATGAGTGCAACCAGGCAGTGTATCCAAGGACACGGGGAATATGCCTGTGAAGGATTTAGTGCCTTGTTGCAAAACCAATAATGATGTCTGCCAGTCCATGCTAATGTACTGTTTAGGACAGCAGAGGGAGCTGGAGAGAAAACAAGTAACCCAGAGGCAGAACGACCAAGGTTTCAGGTCCTTGCGGCAACTGGACGTTTAATTCCCAACCATTTCAGTGGAGGTCGGGCACCTGCATGCCTAGGAATATTCATGCTCAAGATAGTTTCTGGTAAATGTTTGCATCTTGTGCTGTTCTAAAGGCTCCTCCTAAATGCCGTGTAAGCCACCTCAAGGTTGATTAACTCCCTGAACTGCAGGGATTGCTCTAAGTGGTTGATGTTCACTGTGGTTTGATGATTCCTCAAAGCCATCTGTGAAGTGACTGTAAAAGTAAGAAAGCAGAAATGTAAGTGTACTACTATATGGAAAAACTCTGAGTGGGTCTTGCACTGTGAGAGTGGAAGTGTAAGCATATTTTTGTTTACATGCTCACAGAATCAGATCTGAAAATATGAGTATGCGTGTACCTTTAACTTTTTAGCCATGGGATGGAAATATCCTTCCTCTTTTTCTGAAATATCAGCAATGCTAATGTTATATGACAGAAAAAAAAAAGAAAAAAAATATTTAAATTCTCTTACATTGAGGGCTGTAGACAAGTACAGTCTGTATTTAAGATTTGTACCAGTTCTCCTCCTTTCCAAGAAAGGCTTAGAAGAAGCCTGATACAATCAGGCTCTATTTACTCCTGTTGTTCTCTTAGCTCTTCTCCTATTATTCTGCTACTGCCTGTACTACTGCCTTATAACACTTGAGTAAAATGGTTCACCTCATACACATTTTGTATACAAGTTCTCTTACCCTCTGATTATTCAATATGAACTGGCTTAATTTTCTTATCAGAATAACAATTCTTCTTTGATTTTATTTGATTTTATTCTTTCATTGAAATTCCATTTCCTGTTCCATTTTCACTTTATGCTTCTTTCTTGTAGATTGAAAATTTCCCAGTTGTGATCTTTCAAATTGTTAAGTAGAACAGAAGTTTCCAAGTTAGAAAGACAGCATTATTTATTCTTTCCATCTTTTTTTGTAATTATAAACATTTTAAATATCCAAAATAATCTATGCTGTGTTCTTTAAACATTTCTTAAGCTCTGCAATGGATTAAGCTTCACAAAACCTCTGTAGAGGAAACTAGAATACATACACAGAGGATGTGACTTTATTAGAAATCAGTTAATATGTCCAATCCAGTCTTAAAAATTAACAACATGGGAAATTGCTTATCTAGTTAAACTACTCAATATTGTTTTTGTTAATACAATACAGCTTTTCCTATAGAGTTTATGATGTTGAGTTATAGCATATTCCAAGCATTGCTCACTCCTCCACTGAAGCTGTCATAAAAGTAAATATTAAAAAAATAGAATCCTGCATTCATTGTATTACTGTTTTTGTTCTTTTCTTTTGTTTTGTTCTTCTCTCTACTACTGCTATTTAAAGCACTGCCAAGATTTTTCAACTTTTGAAAAGGTTTTCAGACCTGTTGTTACTGTGTAGTTTCTTCTTTAGGCCCACGTATCATACAATGAAGCATAAAGATCAGGCCCGCGCCCTGGTATTTTGTTCATTTCCATGCCTTCATGACTGAATTAAACACCAGCCCCAATGTTTCATGGGGTGCAGTATCCTCACTGAGCTTTGGACCAATTCTGTGGTTGCTACATCATTTATGGGAAAATGCACTTAAAAAAACCCCACCAAACCTTCACCTATAGACTACATGTTTAGAATAAATTCAACAAAGTCTGAAGCGTGTTGTTTTACCACTATACCTTCAAGGTCGTTTCGAACACAGAAATGACAAGATTTGTGCTAGGATGCTTTCTGCATCCAGTGTGTTACTTGCAGAACTTTGTTTTTGCTGGACTAAGTCTGCAGGCATAAAGGGGAGGAAGTCATCTACCAGTGCCATTTGGATCAAGTAAATGTTATTACAGTTAATATAAATTAAAACTTAATTTCAAAATACTAAGGTCTGGGAAAATAAATTTTACATTGTTAGCAACTGTTTTTTTTTAACTACTCTTAATTTGCTAAACTTCACTGACTCTAGTGTAACTGTTCTTGATAATTTGACTATTACAGACTACAATGCAGCAAACAGCATTGTAGTTTGCATAAGCAAGAAACACCCTTGTTTTATTCTAAGGCTCTTTTCATAAATGATCTATAGCAGGTAATGAGCATTGGAGAAATTGTTAATAATTGTTATTTTCTTTAAAAAGCTTATTCATCTACCAGCCTTCCACTCTAAAATTCAGCTGAAAGAATTCAGGTCACAGAATATTTTGTCAAGGCAAAAGAATATGCTAAATATGCCTTAGAAGAAGCATCTTGCTAGTGTGGCATAATAACATGGGGCGATTTTACAGAAGTATCTTTTGGCTTGAGTCTTTTGTTGCCGCTTTTTTCTGAAAATGTCGCATTTGTAAAAAAGGAATTAAGCAAGCCAGATACAGTTGATGCTGTTTATAAAGACACTTGGATAGGATTTGTTTATAGTAGTTTATTTGTGCAACCACCTTTACTAACAGAGTCCAAAACATCAATACTGTTCTTTGTTTGCATTAAAAATAATTGCATATAAACATGCAGCATTACTGTGGTGAGGCTTCATGTTAAAATTGCTTCAGCCAATGTTTTGAAGATTGAGTAAATATAATTTTACGTAGGGAGTACTATATAGAAATTTGGTTTTGTTTCAAAATTGATTTTGCAACTTTATTTCAGGGGAAGTGTTTAATTATATAAGAGAGTTTTGAATAGATGACTTCAAGTACATGCATACCTGGCAGGAATTAGGAGTTAAGTTAATCTGACTGTTTTATCCCAGTTCTGATAAGCAGTAGTGACCATATTGCCATTTAATTCTGGAGTGAAGGTTTTGGAAGATTTTTTTTTTTCTTTCTTTCTTTAGATGAGGATGAGTAGAATTCATAAAGATGGCAAATGGGAAATATAGTCTTTCATCAGAGGAATGTTTTATACTTGAAAAATTGAATCTGTGAGGATTTATGGACAGAAAAGCCTAGTCAGAAATTTCTTGAGAAAATATAGGAGTATGTGTTCATGCCATTTGTTATTTGTTTCAACATATGGACATGGCCATTCTCATGAGGTCTTCTTAAATCATATTTTTGAGTCTTATATCTTCAAATATATTTAAAATGAGCCTAACTATGTGCACAGATTCACACACTGTTGACTTGAGCAGAAATAAGTATGTTCTGGTCATTCTTCACAGTGGCTTTATGCCTTTTAATGCCATGATACAAAATTACTGTATGATTCTATAAAGAGAATTACAATTTCTGAAGTTTGATTCATTTTTAGGTTTTTTAACTATATGTTAATTTTAATCTCAAAACAAAAACAAAACAATATGTTAATTTTAATTTCAAAACAATAATCTCAAAACAAATTTAATCTCAAAACAATATGGGAAAGACAGTAGGGCACCTACTAAATACGTCATAGACAAGGATGAATTAGTGATGGATATCTACTCGTGTAAAGACCATATTCTGTAGTTTCTCTGAGTATGGGAGATCTTACGCTTTCAAAGGGAGTTGTGTGTGTGGTTCAGCTGAGCAGCTGTGTTTATCTGGGAGCATCCTGTAACACAGGGAATTTAGTGGTGCTGTTTAGTCCATTGCTACCTTTAGCGCTTAATTTGCCAAATATCTAAACCTGTTTTCCCAGTGATTTAATTACATTTTTTTTTTAACCAGGTAAACATTAGTGAATGTAACTCTCACCAAGTTCTGCTTTCACCTATTATGAAAGTATATTTAAGACTGGTTTTCAACAAGAATAGTTCATGCTGAACTTATATCAGATAACTTATTTATTGCAGAGCAGACGCTTGTGTTGTGCAAAAGTTCTGGCACATGAAGCATAGCATTAAATTAAATTAAATGATTAAAATTGCTCTAAAATAATTGTAAGAGTAATCTAATAAGCAGAACAGTATTTTGATGTTGCTTTGTGTTTGTATAGATATTGACCGTTGTTATTACAAATAACATGTGAACGCTTAAAAAGAATCCTGAAAAAACTCTTACTGTTCCAGCATTTGCAATCTATTTACAAAGGTTTTTTTCCTTCTTTTTTTTTTTTTTTGTGCAGGTAGTGGCCCAATTGTGGATCCAGACGTTTATGGTATATATTTGATTTTCTTTTTCTTTTCTTTTAATGCTAGAAATGAAGGATCTCAAACCACTAAAAGATTGAATGTCAGGCTCAGTTAAACTGAAATGGCACATATTATAACACAGTTCTAAAAGGTACTTTGTATTGTTGGTTCTTTTCCTGCCTTATATAATTTAAAATAAATGAGGGCAATGTGACATTTTACGTTGCTGCTTTTGATTCATATTAGGAGAAGCATAAATCCACTGCTACTGAAAGTCACAATTTGTCCTGTAGGATAGCAGCTGTCTGATGCAGCTTATGGATATGAGATTTTCTGAACCTTTCAGAAGCATTTCTTGAAGGAATGAGGGTTCATGATTTCTCTTTATATAACTTAATTTATTTTTCCAGAGATGATTCCATACTTGTTTTGCCTCCAAAAATGTTCTCCTAAATCCCCCCTAAAAATGAAGTTGGCACAAGTGAGTTTCCCTCTAGGCAATTTATTTTTCTCTGTCCGCTCTTTTGTACCTTTCCTTAATCTCTCTCAGAACATCAAGTCAGTAACATCTGAGTGTCTGCCAGAAGATCTGATGGCACAGTGTTCGTGTTAGCTTTTTGTCAAGGCAAAATGTTTTAGGCTGTACGTTCCAGAAGTCGATGAGCACTCTCATGTAGATAGGGTAATGTTGCAAAGTGAGAAAAAAATGGCTAGTTTCACATAGTGCTTCTGGTGTACTTCTGCCCAGCATGAAAGCCCGTCCTCACCAACACATCCAAAACACTCTTTAAGTTCTGTCAGAAGCTGGATCCTGCTTGGAGTACTTTTTATTTGGATGAAATGGCACATGACTCAAGCTTCCTTAAGCTGATTTAAATGTTATTGCTTTGATTCCATTCCATGTCATTAAACTTTAGCAAATGTGCAATTGAAGCATCAATTTGACTTTAAATGCTTAGGAAATAGCTTTCCCTCCCTCTTTTTCCAAATTCTTTTTATTTGGGGGGGGCAAAGGGGACGAGGAGGAGAGGGGGCGAGAGTTTGCACAGTTCCCTAGGGACATGTGCTGTGTTGTGCAAGTTGTATACAGGAAGATTTTGATCCTGAGATGTTTTCTGAGGTCCTGATGCATGTGTGTGACTTCAGTCGTGTGAGCTCTGTGATTCGGCTGAGTTTGGTAGACCCTGTTGAAATGTGCAAGTGAATCACAGCCTGGAAGATCTAGCCTTGATTAAAGCAGCATTCTTTGTTACTCTCTGGCTTTTGCTTTTTACTTTTTGAAATTGCTGCCTTTGATCTTTGTTTCAGTGACTCAGTGCTTGCTTGGTGAGGTACTTTGTAGTCTGGAGCGCTCCCTTAATTATCCTGAATTCACAAGTCTCGTTAGCAAGATGTGAATAAATAAGATGGGTTAGTACACTTGGCAGCTGCCATACTGCCCTCCCTGGAGCGCCACCACTTGCACAGCCCCATGATAGAGATGCTCCACACTCACTTTCCCTGGGGACATACAGCTCCTCTTGGCTTTACCGGGGCAAGGGCTGGAGCTGGCACCACTGCAACATCCTGTCGGAGACAAGATGGCAGCTGTGGGTGGGCAGAGTCAGCATGGACCGAGATGGTGGCTGTGAGGAGGCTTGGTGGGACCTTCGTGGAGAGGCAGATGTTTTTCCCACCTGAATGCAGGCAGGAAGGAGAGTTGCAGAAACAGGGCTTTCCTCCAAGCTGGGGAGAACACCATGTGCCAAGAAGACTTCTCTGGTGCTTCCGTTCCCACTTTTCCTGCCACGCTACTGCTTCTGGTGTGGCCATGAAGCTGAGTGAGCCATCGTGCCCTGTAAAACCCAGCTGTCCCGCTTATAAAACGCCTCGAGGTGCCGCCCTGCAGGAGCTGCCGGTGCCGGCGTGCACAGTGGCGGCCGGCCCAGGCCTGTGTGCAGCCTGGCGCGCTCAGGATTTCGTAACAGAAATGAACAGGAATTTGTCTAATTCGGAATTGCTCCTTTTTTGGCTGGGTGACTGCTCTCTGTGCATATTTTCCTTGCCCGGCTCACCCATTTCAGGCGGTTTTGAAACTCTGGCACAGCTTCAAATGCAAATCGCTTGCAGTTAAGCAGTGGGAAATGGCAGTACTGCACCGATGAACCAAAGTGGCCTAATTTACCCCTTTCACATTTTTATGTAATTTTAACACAATATTGTGTTCAGAGGATTCACAGACCTGGGCCTGAAATACTTTGAGTTGTTCTCATTAGTCCTTCAATGTATGCTTGCCAGTACCTTAGGGCAGAAGGAGATGTAAGCACAATTGCAAATGTAGTTCCTCAGCTTTTGCCCCTCTGCAGTCTCTTCCGGTTAAAGTTAAGAGCAATAAATTTTCCTCTTAAAGGCTTATTTCAGTAATAACATCTATTTTGTATATTGGTCCCATTTTATGGTCAAAGGTATCATAGTGAAGACATTGCCAGCAAATTGTTAAGAAAACCTATCCTGACATACTTGTAAACTGGATTTCTCCACTGATCAAGAGTCTGGAGGTGAATAAAACCGAGCTCTCCTCCTTTGCTGTGGTAGAGCCTGTCGTCACAGGAGACGGTAGTGTGTGCATCAGGCTTCCCCTGAAAGTGAGGAACCGGGATTTATTTTGCAAGAATTAAGGACCGCAACTTTATTAAGAAGTAAGGATTTTAACTTTGTTGCAGAGTCAACTGTAGACGTAGGGATGCAATGCTGAGCTGGAGAATTTAAGGAGTAAAAAAAAAAGGCCCAAAGCATATCTTCTTTCTCATGAAAACTCCACCTACTTAACATATAATTATAATTTGAAAAAACTCTATCTTTTCGTGTGTGTGGTGCATACTCACAATAGTGTTTGTGAGTTCGCTAGACAACCTGGTGGGACTGAGTGTAGCCTTGGTGGCAGAGATAGCTGTGTAGCTTCAGACAGCAAAGGAATCTGCAGTACTGTGTGGAAACAAACTGTGCTTGTGCATGCATGAAGATCAAGGCCAGTGCAACTTATTGCTGATGTTGCCAGATGAGCTCTCCAAAAAGACCTTGGGAGCTAAAGAAGGTAAACTTAACCAAGGCACAGACAGGCCCCCCCTCCTCTTGCCAGGTGGCAGCGCTGAGGTCAGAAGACTTCCTGCCTCTGGGGTTTGTGTGAGCTTAGGCTCTGCCTTTTCCTTTTTCATACTCACAGTCACCATTCCATCTTGTAGCACTGATTTTTATCAAAATATAAAGAAATACACCGTTAATTGTAAGTTGCAAATACAGTGCTGGAGGTGCATTTGTAATAAATGCGCTGCTTGGCCTTGTTTGTTTCCTTTCATCTACACCCATATTGTGGTCATAAAGTTGGAACATTAGGTATATTTCCAGGTGTAATCATAAAATACACCTAGTCTTTCTGTTTTAACGCATGGATTAGGATTCATATGTGTATTACTTAATTCTTCTTATCTTGCTTAAACAATTCCAAGAGAAAATGATGGACTGTACAAATCTGTGTTTCATTTTTAGATAATTATAAATAATTAAGCCATGTTTGTTCTTTTGGTGGAATTGTCCTTGATTCCCCTCTGTAGATGTATAAGTAGTGTTGTTTTAATAAATCAAATTTCTTTGGACCACATTAGGCACCTACATTTTTTTCAAGTTTACCTGTATAACATTTCAGCATGTTAGACTGTAATCTCAGTGCACACAATGTATTTCTGGTTGTTTAACCTATGAAGAATAGCTATTTCACATTTGATAGCAATAAACTAGTAAAAAGGCCATCTGCCAAGTTCTCTTCTGCTAAACAGAAAGTCCCCAAGCTAATTTCTAAGACTGTCCTATATTTAGCTGAATACAAGGCAAGCAAAGTTCAGTATAGAGGGCAGTCTTTCATTTTTAATGGGAAGTCAGAATCACATAAAAATAGCTTTATGGATGAGGTTCTTATTTAACTCTTGTTTTTCTAATACATAATATGGTGTAGATTCCTTTTCTATGGTGCTACAGAAAGAAACAGCTTCTTTCTTTGAGTCTGTCAGTCACACCCTATTTATTCAAAATTATCTGCCACAAGGATGCCCCGAAATGTACTGGGTACAGCCAAAAAAGGTACTTTTTAAAAAAAAAAAATTTTAAAGAAATCAGAATGCCAATAGGTGTTGCTAGTGTTATGATGTTATAGAAATTAAATTAAAAAGACCACCATTTCCCTTCCAAGGTTATGAAATTATAAAAACAACCTTTTTTCCTTTCTTAAGAATATGAAACCACACCTAATGACCTTGGAGACACCACAAATAACAGTAATCAAATCACTTCTACGGATGTTTCCAACAAAGAGAATGAAGATAGCATCACTGTAAGTATATACATTGTTTCCTGATCTGTAATCTTGGCAGACTCTCTGACTAATGCAACTGTGGAGATTGTAACGGGACCCTAACGTACCAGAACGTACCAGAGCCATTACTGTGTTATTAGACAAGCTGAAGAAGAGAGAGAGAGAGGCACTCCTTCCCAACATGCTTTTTGAGAGAGTAGATGACTTTTCATTCTGAGTAAAATTGTTCAATTTTTTCGTGCCTTTCTGAATAGCTAGCTGTAATTCGCTAGTCCGAGGCATTGTTTCTAACTTTTAGCCAAGGAAAGCAGCTCTTCATTCGCAAAATGAAAAAATTCAAGGTAATTTAAAGATTGTTGCTGAGTTCTGATCCCAGAACAGAGGTGCTACTGACAAAGTATGTGGGTATTGTTTGTTTTGAAATATGATTTCTTTCCTTTTCCCCCCCCTTTTTTTTCCCCTTTCCCTTTTCTTCTCTTTTCCCATTTTTCCCTTTTCCCTTTCTTTTTTGATTTTCTTTTTTAAAGATAATTTGTAGCACATCTCAGTAGAGGCAACTGAATTAATTGCTGGGTCTGTGTCTCTGGAGTCCCACCTTTTATGCTGTCCTGGACTCCTATGCAGAATTATTGGAAGCTGAAAGATCAGGAGAATCCCAGGCAGTCTCATCTCCCCTGATAGGAGAATCACAGAATGTCTGAGATTGGAAGGCACATCTAGAGGTCATCTAGTCCAAACCCCATGCTTAAAACAGGATCTGTAAATGCAGGTTGCCTATGACCATATGCAGTCGGGTTTTGACTATCTATCTCCAAAGACTGAGACTCCACAGCCTCTCTGGCCAATCGGTGCCACTGTTCAATCACCTTCACATTAAAAAGTGTTTTCTTACAAGCTTTATATTGTGTTTTGTTACAACATACCACTCCACTGGAAGGAAAAGGGGTGATAGGCATTCCCTCCTACATGCCTTGAATGTATAGGATATTCAGAAAAGTGATTCTTAGAGGTATCTGAATTACTGTTCTCTGTAGGGTGGAGGAAATTTAAACAGGTGGTTTTTCTCTGTAATCTGTGTTCTGAGTTTAAAGGTTTCCTATTTCAAATGTAATTGGATAAATCTGAATTAATGTTTAATTATCAAATATAGTTTATGAGAACAAAAGAAGTAGATCTGTTTTTGTTCTCTTTTTTAGGTTTATGTTGTGGTAGGAATTGCAGCACTTGTGTGCACTGGCTTAGTGATAATGCTAATTATTCTGAAGTTTGGAAGACACTCAAAGTTTGGGATGAAAGGTAAGCAGGTTTTATATATATATATAATTATATCTTCCGTAATTGTTCCGGGTTGTACAGGCTTGTATAAGATATGTATAAATGAAGGCCTATCATATTTTGTGCTTCATTTATTTGTCAGGTAAGTAAGGGCAGCCACGGGCATAAATCGTAAAACAAAATTTTGGGTTGAACTGTTCTACTTCTGTTTTTTTTTTTTTTTTTTTTCTTATCACAAATCTTATTTATCTTCATTCCACACTTCACAGCCCATTCCTGTGGTAAAATGTTAGCTAAGTCAGTTTATAGAGGCAGATGATAAGAAATTAAGTTATTTCTGATTTTTATTTTAAATATTTGACAGTTCAAAAGTCTGTGCTGTATGCAAGAGGTTCTTCAAACTATACTGTAAATGCAACATTAAGATAACACATTCAAAGGTAAACAAACAGCAAGAGAGAAAGGTGTATTTGCAGTATTTGTCACACTTAGGTTTTTTGATGGATGCATTTTCCAGAGCTTCTTTGTGCATCTTGAGAAGTGGCAGCCACAGAGAATGTCAAGTGCTCTTGTTCCTGAGGAAATCTCAGCTCTTTTGTTTATTTATTTATTTAACAGACAGATGGAGGTATATTTAACACCGAGGTACCTGTAGCAACTCCAGTACAATATTGTTGTACTGATATCATCAATCTGTGTCTAGAGATGTTGTTGGAATTGTTTTTATAAAATAATACACGAACACACAAAGTAAATGCTTATTATCTTACTGAAAGGCCTAGAAGGTGCTTTCCTGTGTACTAAGTAGGAGAACTTTTGTTTTTAAGATGTGTGATTGAGGGTCTGTGTAGAGACTGGTAACTATTCTTCTGGTAGTTTCCTATTAGCCTTATGTCTTTCTCTCATGCATAGGGCGTAGTACCACAGAGGTGCTTTTTCGTTTGTTTGTTTGTTTTCACATGGTTGTATATTTTGGTGAATCCAACTTGTCCTTGACTATGTTCTTTTCAGAGATATCTGGACTATTTGGTGTTTGTATTTCTTTCTTTCTTTTTTTTTTAATAGAGGAGAATTTCCAAAACATATACAATTTGAGCAGAGCAGAAATGTATATTGTACATATTAGTTTGCTGTTTGCTGGGATTAAAACCTCCTTTTCTTTCACCTTCTTCTGATAAGCAGTCTATGGTCTTTGGGGTGGCATAAAAGAAGACAGGTGCTCTGGAAAGCCCAGAAAAACAACATGGAACCTGTGGGATCGAGCTACAGGTTTTGGCTAAAGAACAGAAGAATCTCTTTAGAAATGAACAAAAGTTCAGGGTAAATTTTCTTTGTGGCTAGAACTTTTTAGCCAGCTGAAGGAAATGGAAGCCAAATAAGAACAATAATGGGAAATGCCTGAGGTTTGGATTTTAAAGCTGAATGCTTGTTACGTTTTTCAAAATTTCCATTTTACTTTTCAACATACCATTATAGGAGGTATTAGGAAGTAAACTCTACCCTGAAGGAGAATGAGTAAAGTTATATTTTAATGGTAATGTATTGAAATTCCTTTGAGGGAACTCTTTAGTTAATGGTTGTTCTGGTACCCACAAGTAGAACTTCTCTGACATTATGGTCTTGCATAATCAGTAATTTTTACTTCTGTAATACTCTTTTGCCTATTTGTCCATCTAGAATCATATATGAGTAAGGATGTATTTTGTGGAGAATGGCTGGCCACAATTAAGGCAGCAACCACATGTATGCAGTCTAATTATTCTGTTAATTTGACCAGAGATGGTTAGAAGAACAGTAAAAATAGTTCACCATTCGAGTACATGTCTTTAGAAACTAATCGCCGGAATGATGTGCCTGGTAATGATGAAATGTCATTATGAGCACACAGATAAAACCTGAGCTTCACATTAGAAAGGACTGGTGCTCAATTATCCCTTAAAGTGAACCTCAAACCTTGCTGAAGTTTGCATTCACAGTTGAGCATCTGTGGGTCTATCTGTGGATCCAAAGTCTCAGAATGACTTTCTTGGTTTATCACCATCAGTATTGTTTAGTTTGTATCAAAGCAATATTTAAAGACCTGAGATTAGAACACCATGTGGATATGTAATATCCAGGGTGTTACAACAAATTACCTGCTCCAAAAAGCTTGCAACATAAGTATTTACTGAGAAATAATAAGTGAAGAAAAAAAGGGATGTATTAGCATGAGGAAAATAAGGCAACTGTGAAGAGAAATTTCTTAGAATCAGAAGTATAATACTTATAAAATATGTATTTCTGGAAATTCTGGATAAAAGGATCAAATGGCCTACTTGTGAATTCCATGAATGATTTGTCATTGAGTTCAGTGAGAGCAAAAGTAGCATCTAACTTAAGATACAGACATTATATTAGAATTTCTGCTCTAGTAGGAAAATGGGAAGTAATAAAATATTTAGATAGCCATGGAAAATATTTACAAAACAAGCTAAAGTCTTTGTCTTTTCATATAGTCCCCAAAATGTGAGTGAATATTTTGCATTCTTAAGAAGATGCTTCCTGAGTTATATGTAGACCTAGAGGTAAACTGAATTTTTGAAGATTTTTCCAAAAACAAAAAGTGGGGAGGATACACCTGTTCCCAAACCAGATCCTTGCCTCTTAGGAAAGTAGCAAATAGAATTGAGAAAAATAGAGAGGAAGGGACAGGTACTTAATCCTGTTGGGATTAGAGCATTTTTTTGAATGTTTATGTGAAGGTTCTGTCAGTGGTTTGAGCTGTGTGCAATAATCCAAAGGTAAGAGATTAAACGGAGCATGAAAGTCCCATCACAGTTAGGCAGTGCGAGCAATACTCTCTTGTCTGTGGGCTTGGATGGTGCGTTTTGTTAGGTGCAACTCCTTCCTGGAGCTCTCTGAACTAACTACTTAACTGTCTTAAACATAATCCTGGCAGCAAATTATGTGTTCTTTTTCTGAGGTTTCTAGGCTGTGCCTTGAAATTTCTGGGTACAGATAACGATATGGTGGGGGTTGATTAATAAATAAAGTTATGGTCCTTTTCGGACAAACAACCCCAAAATACGGCCTTACCTTCAAGCGTTGTTATTAGCTTCTCATATCTTTTGAATGTAAATACATAAGTTCAACTCTCCATTAGAACGTTATGCTTTTTCACAAAGTAGATTAAACATTACAAACAAACGTCGATTTTGTCTGCAAAAGTCAAAACAAGGCGTTTCCTCCAGCCTCATGACAACTTTTTGTTATTTCAAGTGATTTCTTTAACTTTTGCATTAGACTGTGGACCTTCTTCAAACTTTTTAGTACAAAAAGGTGGTTATTCCAAACATGAGCCATGACATAGTCACAGAGTATTTTTTCTTCTCTGTGTGTCATTCACTATAATGTTTTTGCTTGTGAATGGTTGTTACATTCTGAGCTTCAATCAGGAAGAAATGGTACAGGAGAGGGCAGCTTGAAACTTGTCTTCCATTTAGAGGCATTTCACAGTTTTTCTAGGGTATTTTAGGGTATTTGAATAAGAAGTGCCATACTACTGTATAATAAAAACCACATTCTTCAGCAATTTTTTCATTTGGCACTTCTGGTAACAGCTTCTGACACAATGTGTCCATTATGATTTAAAATCTTTAGCCTTCATTTTCCTGAGTAATCATATTTATATGTCTTTAAATAATAGTACTATTCAGATTAGAGTGCTTTATTATTGTGTCTAAATATGACAATTTGTTGAGGTCTTTACATACTATTTTGGATGTAGCTTCACTGCTAGTAGAAGAAATCTTGTTTCTCTCATATTTGTCTGTGGGTAAATAGAAAATGGTCATGGTGTTCTCCATTTTAATATGTTTTATTTTGCTCCACGTTACTGGGGAGAAGAGAATCATAGAATCATAGAATCATAGAATGCTTAGGGTTGGAAGGGACCTCTAGAGATCATCTAGTCCAACCCCCCTGCACACGCAGGGACACCTAGAGCACGTGGCACAGGACTGCGTCCAAACGGGTTTTGAAGATCTCCAGAGAAGGAGACTCCACAACCTCTCTGGGCAGCCTGTTCCAGTGCTCTGTCACCCTCACTGTTAAGAAATTTTTCCTTAAGTTCCTATGCAATTTTTGGTGTTTCAGTTTCCGGCCATTTCCTCTAGTCCTATCAGTGGCCACCACTGAAAAGAGACCATCCCCGTCCTCTGCACTCCCTCCCTTGAGGTACTTATAGACACTGATTAGATCCCCTCTCAGCCTTCTCTTCTCCAGGCTGAACAGGCCCAGCTCCCTCAGAATGATTGCAAGAGGTTTCAAAACAAATCCTATGTCTTCCATGCTGATTTGCTTTTCCTCTTACCAGATTACTCCAAGCTGGTGACATACTGATGCAGAAAAAAGGGAAAGATTCTCAATTTATTATATTTTAACTCTTGCATTATTCCATGTTTTGCTTAAGCAGTTGGGTTGCTTATGGAGTATAAGTAAAATATGATTAAAATGGAAGTGCTTTTGTAATTTTTATTTTACACCAAGTGCAAAATAAAAGCTGTGTGTCTTCAGCAAGGACTTGCAATTTGGCAAACATGATCTAATGTTCAGATTGGTCATAAATCTGTAATGAGCTCTCAGTGAGACTCTTCTGCCTGTTTTGTGCCTTGCTTGCCAGTTTACTAAGAGGAGCTCTGCTCAGAATGTGGGCTCATTTGTAGCTCTGGAACAGTCAAGTTACTGAAATCTTGAAGTTGCTGATTTCTCCATTTGTACATATAGAAGTAATTTTGTATCGTGTTGCACCTTCTATAATGCAGATTCTATCCATGTCAATGTTTCAATGTCTTTAAAGCATGGGATTATTTAGTCAATGGGTATCATGTAAAAGAGATTATGTTTTGTGATTCAGTGGTTGTAAGATAAGATATAGGGGGGAAAAATGAGTATGTTCAACCAGTGAATATTTTTGATGACGAGGCATGTAAAGGCAGTGATGATATTGATCATCTGAAGCCTACTCCAGAAATTATTTTTAC